TAGCTTATTGCTACATTGCTGTAGGGTGGTGTGTAGATACCCCCTATAGCTCCTAGATGCTTTTATAATATAAAAAAAATTATAATACAGGATCACTAGACAATCAGCTTTTTCTTTGAGAATGTTTATAATCTCTTTATTTATTTTATTGTGCAATTATATCAGTTAATTTTAAAGAGGTTTATATAATTTTACAAAGAATTTGGTTACAATATATGTTTTTAGAAAAGGCAAAAATAAAATAATCCGTACCAAAACTTAACAACACCTCGAATAGTTATGCAGAAATGAAATTCAATAAAGGATGGTACCCGTTCCTTTGATGGGAGCTAGGAATTGCTCTAAATATTAGCAGATCACAAGCCTTTCTTCTGTGAACAGTGTTCCATTAAATTATCAAAAAAGTGTCTTTGGACTTTGCAAAACTAGCACTACTGACAACTGTGGTTTCTGATGTAAAATATTCTATTCTGCCTGGGCTAGATTGTCACAGTTCTTACATGGCCATGCAAAGCAATGAGCCGTGCCCCCAGGCCCTCTCCCTTGCTTCCCTTTGTGGAAGAATAAAGGTTGCCTTGCACTGTAGCTCAGTTCTAGTGCCAGAGCCAGGACTGAGAGGAGTTGAGAGTGAGAGGAACCCAGGTTCTGTTCTCTGGCATTTGTTGGCCAGAGTGGCTGGCTGGATGGATGCTCAGTAGCGAGTAAGTTGCTTCCCAAACAGATGTTTAACATGACATGTTCCCTTCAGAGGACGAGGGAGCAGGGGAAGAATATTGGTTTGACTGCAATGCAGACATATCTGTACTAGTTAATTTATACCAGCTAGCTCAGATATGGCACTCCAGCCATGGAAGCAGGAGATTAACTACAGGTTGCAAAATCTACCAAAGCAGCTAGCTAAATACTTGGGTGTTCACCTGTTCTTGTCTCTGTGCCCCTGCAGCTAGACAGCTACTGCTACCTGAGCTAGCTGATTTAAAGCTAACTTGGGTATGTGTATACTATGACTAGGAGGCAAAGAGACTTAACTGCATCTACACCTATTCCACGGGGCTTTTGGTAGCCCCACCAACCCTCTCTGGTTCACAGACACCAAACCTAAAAAGTCAGCAATGTGCCTACTCCAAGGATTCCCTCTCCACTGTCTCTCTTGGGATCTCAAATTCTGGTGTGCTTCAGAGTGGAGGCAGTGGGAGTGGTGCCATGGGTAGCCCTACTGCCTCATTTCTGAGTTTGGTGTATGTGGGGAGGAGCAGGTAGGTTGCACCTTGCTTTTCACTGACACTCTCCAAAACTATGTGGAAACACTACAAATATAGCCTAAGTCACACTGCATTCTCTAGTTTGCTCCTAGGGCACTGTAGTGATGCCTTACTCCTTACTCAGGGCTGACTGTAGTTACAAGTCAGCTGTGATTATCTGCAGCATTACTGTGTCAAATATTTCAATAAGCAAAGCAAGATTGTTCTTCCTTCACTAGCAAACTTTCAACAAACTTAAAACTCTCATTAACTTTGCATTATGTTTGATTAGGTCACAAAGCAAAGTTTTGTGTCCAGAGTTTCATTTGAGGACACATGAATCCAAATATAGCCATACCTTTTAACTGAATTCCATTTATCCCTAAATGAAATTTACCACTCTTTACAGTCTTCAAAAGGACAAAATGTTTAATTTGTAATAGGTTATTTTTCTCTATCCTTTTTATGTTTTAATTTGGCCTTCAAAATGATCTTTGATGTACTATATTCAGCTCCAGTCTGAATTAAAAGTGATTCTCTTTAAACTTTTCTGAAAAAACTAACAGGCTGTATTGTGTTATAACCAGTTTTACAGCCTGCTCAAGCTGTTTAAGTATTTGCTATACTGCAAATCATATAGCGGCAGGTTGATACTTCTCAGTCAATCAGCTATATAGCAGACATTTTTATTAACTGCTAGTACGTACTGAGGAGATATGGTATTGTTTTAATATATCATCTAGATATGCAACAAATTCACGTTAATCTCAGTTATAAGTGTTACAAATAAGATGAATATGTGCACAGTACTTTAAAATGCATTGAATTTCCCTTCTTGTTTCATTGGCTATAACATTCCCTGACATAATTGAACCTGATTAAATGCACCATTCCTGCCATAATAAAGTTAAGACTACAAATACAGCATTCACAACAGAGATAGTTAAGGCTTTATTCTGATGATTGTTTTTTTCTCTGTGCATATTTTTCCTCCTCCCCACGCCCTAAGGTTTTTCCACACAGAAAGAAAAATGTGTTGACTACAGAGTATTCTCTCTCTCTCTCTCTCTCTCTCTCTCTCTCTCTCTCACACACACACACACATACACACACACACACACACACACACACACACACACACACACTTGCTTTAGCTGGAAGTATGTGCAATGAAATGTAGTCTTAACACTGAATACTTACACAGCTCCTTTCAACTGTATAATTATTTTTTGCATTGTGCAGCTAGAAAGTATAATTTCCAGGAGTGGAATCCAGTTTGAGAGACACTAAACAGGATTTAGGCAAATCCACTTTGATCCTGATGAGGCACCTTAAGTCTCTGAAGGGATCTTATTTATTAGGCCTGTTTTGCACTTGCCAAACTTGCATCAAACTCAGTTAAAAATTGGTGATGTCTAAATGTTTCCCTATTTTCTAGTTGTTACAGTGCTTACCTAGGCTGTGAGAGACCTAGATTACAGACAGTGCCTAGGTAAGTGCTCTACCCACTGGGAAATGGGTAAAAAGGTAGGCAGTACTGTTTTTAACCAAATTTGTTGCAAATTTGGCAAGCTCAGAAGGTCTAATAGACTATACTGAACTGACCTCAGGACCCATCATTCTGTTTGCTATTTACTCACACAGGAAACAAGGATTTCAGCCCAAAGACCATCTAAATGGGCTTTGCAAAAATTAGTAAGAATTATTATCCCTATTTTAGCAATAAGGAAACTGAGGCACAGAGCATTTAATGTCTTGCTTTTTGGTCTCACAGCAGAATCAGGAACAGAATCTGTGTTTCTTAATTCCCAATCCACTGGTTTACCTCCCTTAAAAACTATAAGGAAATACTTTAAGATATGTAAGGCAAGTGTGTTGATATTAACAAAGGACTAATTTTACATGGTATTCGGGTACAAATATATAGGGCTTTATTCTGCACTGTCTTGCACCTTCTGTAGTCATTTATTTTTGTGCAAAAAGAGTGTAAAATGCTACCAAATCAGAATGGCATCGGAGTAAATGACTAAAAGTCAGTGGAAAAATTAGAACCAGTGTCTCCACCAGTATGTAAGACACAGAGATAGGCTGGCTCATGGCATACTGCAGACAGCTTGTATGGCACTAAAGTTGCAGGTCTGAATTCGCATTTATAGTAAAGCCCCTTTCCCTTACCCTGACAGTGTAGAGAGGCCTTAATATAGATGGAGCTCAGGCCCTTGAAGTTCACTTCAGCTCCCTCTGAAATTGGTGGTGTAACGGAGTTGATTCAGGCCCACAATGAACAAAATGATCAGTACTAAACACCCCTCTCTATATACCCTAGGATGTTTTCAAGAGGCTTTTAGAAGAGCTTAGTTATACATTTTCCTCAGAATTGCTATGATAGTTATCTGTCAAAATAAAAAGTTAAACCTGACAGGTATGACTGCCTGCTACTGGAACTGAAAAACTGTATGATAGCAGTTCATCCTTATTAACTATTAGCTAAGTCACAGGTGGTGAGCACTCCAACTAAATGCCCCCAAGTAAAAGAGAGATTGTGTGTTCTGGCATTTATATGCTAGACACATAGGGGCATATTTATACAAAGCGAGTCTGTATTGTGCCCATTGGAATGGTGAGGTGTGCCCCAAATCAGTCAAATGCAGTATACTTGCAAAACCTTCCCCTGGTCATCATCATTTATTCTGTGTTCTTTGTTTATCAGAATATGGATCCTCAAACTTTTTATTCTGTGGCTGTGTCATGAGAGAGGAATTATTTTATGAACTGTCTCCCCCAACATCTCAATTCCCAAATGCTAAACTGCCAACATCTTTTATTCTGTGGACCACTTCTTAAATAAACCAATCCTTATTCTCTCCATAATCTGGGCATAAGTGCCTTTAGCACATAGCCCTAAATATGTTCTTGCATTTTACTCCTGATTAGAAATAGAATGATTCTCTAGAGCTAAGGGGAAGTTTTCATCGTGTATAAATCACTGTATCCCTCTGGATTTACATATATGCTGGTTTCCACAAGCTGAGGATCTGGTCCAGCAAATGTTAGGCTACCAGCTGTGATAAGCATTTTACAGCATGTATCTTTGGAGTTGGGAAATCCATTCTATCTGCATACTGAATAATAGCTCTACTCTTTGTTGTGTTACATCTAGTTCCACTGGTGATTCAGAAAATATTTCATACTAAACTGCATTTCTTCTATTCTCCATTTTATATACAAATATAGTAGTCTTCTCTAATATATTCTTTTTCTTTAGTAAGGCTTGTATTCACAGTCTTATCAAAACATCCTTTCAGTTTGCTTTCTTCAGTCTTATTCATATTATGAAATTTTACAGAATTCTTAAACCCTAGCTGTCTTTCGTAAAGAATGATAATTAAAAAATAGGTTTTAATATTTTCCTGTCTAAAACTAAATTGGATGAATTCAAGCCTTGTCAGAACCTAGCTTATGGTCAGAGGCTTGATTTTATAATCTATTTAAAATATGAACCCTGAAAGAGGATGTTATCATGATGGTTATTGCAACTTCTCAATATCTGGCATATAACATTCATTTTCCTTTCATATAATTTCTTTTCTTGAAGACCACTCAAAGTTACTGTACTGTGTAAAAAAAAAAAAAAAAGAATTTAAGTTTCATGAAGTTATAAAAGAAATTAGTTATGAATTAGAATGATACAAAATTACCAATTTATGATCAGATCTAATACATTCTTTTAAATTATTGTTCACAATTATTTATGTTGGCATCATTCTATGAACACCTGATGTGTTCTTTGGCATGCTATGAATTTAGCAGTTGCATCGTCTTTTAGGCTTTACAGCCTCCTCTGATGAATGTACAACATTTGGAACAAAGCCACTCTTAACACCATCCCATCCATCCTGTATAGAAATTTCTCCTTTTTTGACAAGTTCATATATGTCTCGGGTAAGAATCGTAAATGATTCCTCAACGTTTGTGGCATCTTTTGCTGAGGTTTCTATGTATTTCATCCCACAGTCAGATGACAGTTTTTCAGCTTCTTCTCTTGTAACTTGTCGCTGTGACACTAAGTCGCATTTATGTCCTACTAACAGAAATACAATTCGAAAAGGCTGTACATGCATTTTAGCTTCTTCTAGCCAGTCTTTCACATGTTCAAAAGATCGCCGGTTTGTGATGTCAAACACCAGTAAGCCACCAACAGAATTGCGGTAATAAGATCGTGTTATTGATCTGAAAAGTGAAGAGAGGGATAGAAAGAAAAAAAAGAAAGTTTAAACAGGAATGTAATAAAATGCGTCCATATATTTCCAAAACAAATTTACATTTCATTGTAGCAATATGGTTTTTATTTTGTATTCTTTTTTCTTGCTTACTTACCAGAATTTATTAATTACTGTTGTATAACAGTGTTCATTTTTCATATTTTCTCAAATGTGAAAGGTATTTCATTCAAAATTTTTAAATTCAACATTGCTGATGTCAGCTTTGGATGACTACTTACTTTGGAGACAGGTATTTCTGGCAAAACTGACTGTGTTGCACATGAAAAGTAAAATGCTAGAATACTTATGCTTAATATTTTTTAAAGTGAAGGCCCTGGTCCTGCATACACTTATGCATATGCTACACTCATTCATATGCTTAATTTTGTTCATGTGAGTTGTTCCATAGTTAAGCTTGTGCTAACTGTTGAATTTGTGAGGACCCAAGAGAGTCATACACAAATATATTTTTTTGTAATCCTTTCAAACCAATTCTCTGAGATTAAATTTCTACAAATTACCATGTTGTCAGGCATTCATGTTTGCTGAGGTAAACAGTGAAGAAACTAAGAAAGGAAGGTTTTAAATAATTTTGGCCAAGAAAGAAGTCAGTTGGACAAATAAAAAATTGTTAGAATATTTATTTGCCTCTTTCATCTATGATATATGGTTTCAAAAACTCTTTAGACTGCAATTATTCTGGCATGGAATGAGATTTTCAGCACTGAGCTCTACCATCTTTCCCCTCTGTTCATCCATCATAATCCCTCAATGTGCAGCGTTGATTTGTGAGGATGTACTACGGAAATCACAGGTTTAAGAGACATTGCATTATTAATTTAGAAAAGAAGGGGGAATATGGTACAAAACCTTTGACAGATTTGTTGCTAAGTGAAAAAGTATTCTTATTAGAATCAAACATGTTTTGTTAGCTTTTAAATGGTAAACCAGTAAAAAGGACCTTTTGAGGGAGCCACATAGGGCACGTTCACACATGCAGCCACACGCGCTTGCAGCAGCTCAAATAGAAGCGGTGCAAATTTGAACTGGGGCTTTTTGCCTCAGCGCATGTGCCTGGACATGCACTTTGCTGTGGGGCAAGTTGTGCCACTTGGGGCAAAATAACCCTGCCTGACTCCACCCTGGACCTGCAGTCAGGGGGAACTAGAGCCCGGGGCCAGCACCTGTGCTGTCCCCAGCAGTATAAAAAGCTGCCCTGTCAAATAGCTCAGGGCTACTCACTCTCAGGAGCTTCTGGGGACCGGCCAATTGGTACCTAGGCACACTATCCCTTGTGCCAGCTAAACTACTGAAGAAGCCCTGAGAGTTCCCTGCACCTTCCACCCACTGCAGCAGTCTGGCAGTGGGGGCTGCTGCCTGGCTGTGACCTGCTTTCCCCTGCCAGACCCGGATGGGGACTACACAGCCAGTAGAGGCATCTGCCCCTCTGGGCCAGCTAACAATGGGCTGTGGCTGGAGGGTTGGCTTTTGTACAGCACTACTGCCATGTGTACCCCTGCCTGGCCATCTGGGCAGCTATTGCCTGGAAGATGTTCTAGTTGTGGTGGCCTGTTTTGAACTATCAAAGCATGCCCCTTTGGCCCCATTGGGCCAGGCAGTCTGCCACCCCTGATGGCTGCCCCA